GATCTTTTTGATATCTTGTGTTTTTTCCTCAAACTGCCCTCAGACCATGATCCTCTTTTCTACACTTCCTGCATAGCTAGATTACAAGTACACATCACTACACCTGGCTTATTTGTTGAAATTGAAGGGTCTCATTAATTTTTTTTTCTTGGTCGTGGGGCTTGAACTCTGGGCTTGGGCGCTGTCCCTGCGCTCTGCAGTTCAAGGCGAGTACTCTACCACTTGAGCCACAGCACCACTTGCGGTTTTCTAGTGGTTTATTGGAGATAAGAGTCTCACAGACTTTCCTGCCCGGGCTAGCTTTGAACCCTGATTCTCATATCTCAGCCTCCTGAGTAGCTAGGATTACAGGTGTGAACCACCAGCGCCTGGCTCTCATTAACTTTTTACCCAGCTGGCCATCGAACCACAATATCTCTGCCTCCTAACTAGCTGGGATTACAAGTGTGTACCACTGTGCCTGGCTTTGTTTTAAAAACCTTACCTTGCATTATAAGAATTTGTATATGTCTTCTTTAGTGTAATATTAGCGCCTCAAAAAAAATCATGTAAGTTTTTTATCTTCCTCCCATAAATCCCAAACAGTATGCTTACCTTCTTTGTTATGTATTTTTAAATGAATATTCCAAAGTTGAATTAGCAAAATTGTATTTGTTAGTATTGTTAGGTAAACAAAATCTGACTTTGTAATTATCATTATTGAAGATGAAGTATAGCTTAAGGAGACGGGTACCAAATTATCAAGGAATGGTTTACTATTAGTTTTATATATCAAATTGGCTAGCTGTAGTGTCTGATTATTCCATCAAGCACTCATCTAGGTATTGCTGTGAAGTTATTTTGTATATATGGTTACCTTTTATAATCAATTGTAATGTATATTTATATATATATAAAGATTATCCTTGATACATTGAGTAGACTTCATTCAATCAGTTTAAAGGCCTTTTTCCTTGAGGAAAAAGAAATACTGGGGGCTGAGAAGGTAGCTCAGTGGTAGAGCGCTTGCCTTGCATGCATGAAGCCCTTGGTTCCATTCCTCAGCACCACATAAGCAGAAAAAGCTGGAAGTGGCACTGTGGCTGAAGTGGTAGAGCGCTAGCCTTGAGCTGAAGAGCTGAGGGACAGTGCCCAGGCCTGGAGTTAAGGCCCACAACCGACAAAAAGAAAGAGAAAGAAAGGAAGGAAGGGAGGGAGGTAAGGAAAAGAAAGGCGCTGGTGTCTCACGCCTATAATCCTAGCTATTCTGGAGCCCGAGATCTGCCGATCACGGTTCAAAGCCAGCAGGAAAGTCTATGAGACTCTTATCTCCAATTAACCACCAAAAAACTGGAAGTGGTACTGTGGCTCAAGTGATAGAATGCTCTCCTTGAGCTGAAGAGCACAGGGACAGTGCCCAGGCCCAGAGCTCAAGCTCTCAACAACTCCTGCCCCTGTGATTAACGCTTACCAACATTTCCTACTCATTTTGGACTTGTCAGCCCCTACAATTGTGTTTACCACTTTCTTGAGAAACTAGTGTATATGTTTGTAATATATGTTCCTATTTCTGATTCTGTGGAGAACTCCAAGTAATACAAGCACCTATTTGTTGCTGAGCTTTACCATCTGCCTTGCTCCATATTCTTTTTCTTTTTTTGGGGGGGGGGTCTGGTTGTGGGGCCTAAACTCTGGGCTTGGGCGCTGTCCCTCAGCTCTTCAGCTCAAGGCTAGCACTGTACCACTTGAGCCACAGTGCCACTTCCGGCTTTTTTTTTCTGCTTATGTGGTGCTGAGGAATTGAACCCGGGTCTCATGCATGCAAGGCTAGTGCTCTAGCACTTGAGCCACAGCACCACTTTCAGTTTTCTGGTGGTTTATTGGAGGTAAAAGTCTCACAGACTTTGCTGTCTGGGCTGGCTTTGAACCATGACCCTCAGACCTCAGCCTCCTGAGTTGCTAGGATTACAGGTGTGAGCCAGCAGTGCCTGGCTCTTGTTCCGTATTCTGTTGCCTTAATATAATAGCCTAGTCTAGATAATTTATAAAGCAAAGATGTCTGTTTGGGATTATGGTTCTGGAAGTCTGAGAGCATAGGATTGGCAAGAGCTCAATCCCACAGGATGCCCTATATGTAGTGAAAAAGCAGACCCAGCAGCTAGCATGTTAAGGAGGGAGGCAACAAAAGAGCTGATGTACTTTATAGCAACCTGCACTAATGAAAACTTAGTCAATCTCAGGACAGGGATGTTAATTCACTTAAAGATTCTACTTTCTAACACCACTGCATTGGCAACCAAATTTTCTCCATGAGTTTAGACAAGGACCTGTCACATCTATCCCATAAACAATAATAGTGGAATTTCCATTTGATCCTTAGTTGAAATGTCTCTTTATTTGAGGTTATATACTTATCAAGTTATTGACATGATACTTATGTTAAATGCTTTTTTTTCATATATTTCTGTAAAAATACTGTACAGAGGGGTTACAGTTACATGAGTAGGATAATGAATACATTTCTTATCAAGCATTGTTGCCTCCTCCTTTGTTTCCCCTTCCCATCCCTTCCCATCTTCCCTCCCCCACCCCCCCCATGCCAAAGTTGTAAAGTACATTTTATCGACATAACGTTTTGTATATCTCATTGTTGCAATGGGTCCACCTGTATCCCTATTTAAACAATTTGTTTTTTCCCTTCCCCTCCACAAATTATACCAACATCAAATACAATGAAAGAAGGGGTTATACTGTGGGGGAGGGACATACAAAGCAACAAAGAAATCATCTTATAAATATGCTAGAAACAATAGCATTGTTGTTTTGTTTTTGAGACAGAGTCTGGCTATGTAGCCTAGGCTGGCTGGCATTAGTCTTAATCCTCCTCTTAGCTTCCAAAATGGTACAATTTGATGTTTGATGGAGATCATCGTGTGTGTGTGTGTGTGTGTGTGTGTGTGTGTGTGTGTGTGTGTGTGTGTACACACTAGTCCTAGGCCTTGACTTCAGGGTCTGAACACTGTCCCTGAGCTTTTGTGCTCAAGGCTAGCTCTACTTCTGGCGTGTGTGTGTGTGTGTGTGTGTGTGTGTGTGTGGTTAATTGGACATAAGAGTCACTCAGACTTTCCTGCCTCAACTGACTTATAACGGTGATCCTCAGATCTCATCCTCGTGAGGAGCTAGGATTGTAGGTATGAGCCACTGATCCCTGGCTAAACCTGGCTTTCATTAACCTCCTTATACATATTTCCTTTATAATAGCATCTATGAAACATTACATAAATGGTACATCTGATAACACATAGGGTTTCAAGTGAGAGTATAGGCCACACTTTTTAGTTTCTTTACATATTTTATAATATTTTGTTGAAAGTTGGACATCTGGGATAATATACTATAGGAGGATGTGGCTTAAGTGGTAGCATATCTGCCTAGCCAGAATGAGGCCCTGAATTCAAAACTCCAACTACTTCAAAATCAATAAATAAAACAAATAGAAAGTCTTGAAAGTTGTTCTTTGTGTCTAGTCACTTTCCTATATTATGTATCTTAGTCTATCTTGTGCTATTATAAGAAAATACCCAATACTGTGTAAGTTATAGTGAAAAGGAAGAAATGTATTTCTCACAGATAACTACAGCTGTGGAGTCCAAGGTCAAGGAACCAACATATAGCAGGCATCTTCTTGCTGCACCATCCTGTAGCCAAAGTGCCACATGGTGAAAGGTCAGAGAGGACAAGAGGAAGAGAGATGCAAAGATACCAAACTCATCCTGAGGAGCTTACTCCTTAAGAACTCACTGAAGTAATGCCAGTGCCCTGGTAACCTAAGCCCTTCTTCCCGGTCCCACCTCTGAAAGCTATTCAACATCTTGCAGTTACATTTCCATAGGATGCTGGAGGACAGACATCCAAACCATAGCACTAATCTGTGGATTTTGTCTCTCATGCACTATGTGGCCACTGAAATCTATTGTTTTTGTTTTTTCTTGTTTGTATTAATCCTGTTTTTCCAGGGGTCTCCTCTGTGTTTACATAGCTTAGTGGTTCAACCAAAAATCCACTTAAGATTTCACTCAAACACCTTGAGCCAGCAAGACTTTCATGTTGTCCATGCCTTCTTTCATCAGTATGTGCTCTGGGGTGTATACTGAAAGGTCCACCTGCTTTCACTGGCTTTTACCTTTCATGGGCCCCTGTAAGCCCTACTGTTTTGCCTCTGTGCACATGCTAAGGCATGCGCACAGGCACCAGCATGGAATATTTGGGTAAATTATAAGGTCTTGGATGCATAAGCTCTTAGCTTCTGGCCTATTGGGGATTTATAGAGAGCTTATAAGGTCTATGAATGACTATGTTACCTCTGAGAAATTCTTAAGTCCCTGCCTGGTCTGCCAATCTTTTGTCTGCCAACAAGATCATTTTCAACTGATAATGGTCCAAATCTAGTGCACCTCCTCCCTCTGGCATTGGCAGCAAGGCTGTTCAGTCTCAAGCCTGAACCTCACTGCATTCAGTGCCAGCAAATCCAGGTGGGGCATTGGCATAGTCCCAGACAAGGACAATAAAAACACCTACTGTTCTTACCTGAAATTCACGGTTTACATAAATAAGCACTTCTCAGTTTATGTTGTGCCTTGAATTTTATTTCTAGAGCAACAAATCATTGTTTTTGACAGCTTTTCTCCCCAGCTGTACCAGTTCTTATGGGGGAGGATGTGTCAGCTTCTTCCCCCATCATGCTGAAGTAAATCTCCACCCTTTAATTTTATCTCAAACAATATCCTGAGGATTCTCTTGGGAGTATGAGAAGTGATTGGAGTGTCTGGCTTCCATGCTTGGATGATTCAGATCTCAAGATATAACAGATACTTTTTCCACTTCAAGGGGAAATGTGGCACCATTTAAATGAGAAAGATGCTTCTTGCATCATAGATAACTGCACTTACCAATTCTGTATCTTGGATCTGTTTTAACCCTATTTTATAATTGATTTAGCATGTTTTTTCTTTTAATTTCAGATTTCAGTTCAGTTCCTTATGTCCTCCCCTGAAATAGCTTCCCTCTCATGGGGACAGATGAAAGTACAAGGCTCTACCAAAACCTATAAGGATTGCAAAGTATGGCCAGGTGGTAGCCGAGATTGGGATTGGAGAGAAACAGGAACTGAGGTAAGTTGCTAGTGTTTGGTTGATAACACATGAGTCTGACCAAGTGATTTCCACCAGTAAAGCAAAATATGTTTTCTCTCTCTCTCTCTCTCCCCCACCCTACTTCCCTCCCTTCCTCCCTTCCTCTCTCCCCTCCCATCCCAAGCTACTGAAATATAAGATTACCATTAAACCATTAAACTCTCCCCTCCCTTTTTTTAATGCCAGTCTTGTAAACTTGAACTCAGGGCCTGGGCGCTGTCTCCATGTCTCTCTATGCTCAAGGCTTGCACTCTACCACTTGAGCCACAGTGTCACTTCCGGCTTCTCCGGAGTAGTTTATTAAAGCGTCTCACAGACTTTCCTGTACAGGTTGGCTTGGAACCACAATCCTCAGCTCTCAGCCTCCGGAGTAGCTAGGATTACAGGTATGATCCACCTGTGTCCAGATTGATTCTTTTTAATAATTTTTCTTTATGGATATGTTTGGATTTTGTTTCCTTTAGTACTTTTGACATATTTATTTATTTATATTATTATTTTTTTTTTTTTGGTCCAGTCATGGTGCCTGAACTCTGGGCCTGGGCGCTGTCCCTCAGCTCTTCAGCTCAAGGCTAGTGCTCTACCACTTGAGCCACAGTGTCACTTCCGGCTTCTCCGGAGTAGTTTATTAAAGCGTCTCACAGACTTTCCTGTACAGGTTGGCTTGGAACCACAATCCTCAGCTCTCAGCCTCCGGAGTAGCTAGGATTACAGGTATGATCCACCTGTGTCCAGATTGATTCTTTTTAATAATTTTTCTTTATGGATATGTTTGGATTTTGTTTCCTTTAGTACTTTTGACATATTTATTTATTTATATTATTTTTTTTTTTTTTTGGTCCAGTCATGGTGCCTGAACTCTGGGCCTGGGCGCTGTCCCTCAGCTCTTCAGCTCAAGGCTAGTGCTCTACCACTTGAGCTACAGCACCACTTCTGTTTTTTTTCTTTTTGCTTATGTGGTGCTGAGGAATCGAACCCAGGGCCTCAGGCATACAAGGCAAGCGCTCTACCACTGAGCCACCTTCCCAGCCCCAGGCACTAGTTGTTTATGATTGCAATCCTAACTACTCAGCAGGCTGAAATCTGAGGATCACAGTGCAAATTCAGTGGGAAATCTGTAAGACTCCGACCGCCGATAAACTACCAAAAAGTGGAATAAAATTCCCGTAAGTGGAGATGTGGCTCAAGTGGTAGAACACTAGTCTTGAGCAAAAGGATTCAGAGACAGTTGCAGGTCCTGAGTTCAAGCCCCAGGACAGCCACAAAACATGAATAAAAAACAAAACTGGACATTTGAAGTATCAGGGTTTGAGGCCAGTCCAGGTAAAAAGTTATAGTCCATCTCAACCAGCAAGCTGGAATTCATGGCTGAAACCCCATCTATGCAAGAAGCATACTTAGGAGGACTGCAGTCCAGGACTAGCCTTGGCAAAAATGCAAGGCCTGCCTGAAAAAACAAAGCAAAAAGGACCAGAGGAATAGATCAAGTAGTAGTGCTTAACTACCACGTACAAGACCCTGAGTTCACTAACCAAAGAAATTGTAGAAAACATTAGAAGATGGAAAGGCCTTTCGTATTCAAGGATTGGCAGAACGAATGTGCCTAAAATGGCCCTACTACTGAAAGAACATGTAATGGAACATTTAAAGGAAATTTAATGCAATTCTTCACCAAATTTCAGTGACATTTTTCTCAGAAATAAAAAAAAATCCTACAATTCATATGGAAACACAAAAGATGTTGAATAGCCAAAGCTATCCTGAGCCATAGTAATAAAAACGGCTTGGTACTGGCACAAAAACAGACACATGGAAGAATAGAGAAGAGAAGAGCTACCTCATTAGCTTAACATAGACTAGAGTAGAAGTATCCAGAAAAAAAGCCAAAGCATGTACTGCCACGTGAACCTTGGCAAAGGTACCAAAAACATACCTCGGAATGAAGACAGCCTGTTTAACAAGTGTTGTTGAGAAAACGATATTCACATGTAGAAAACTGAAGCTAGATCCCTGTCGTTCACTCTGTACAAGAACAGATCAACAACTTTAAGTCCCAAAATTTTGAAACTACTTGAGAAAAATATAAGGCAACACTTGAGATATCTATTGTGGAGCATGGGAGCAAGGTTACAAATATAAAAGAGGAACTAATAAGAGGTAAGAAAGAAAGGCAATGAGAGGAAAGTATGTAAGATGATAAGAAAGAGTGATAGAGCCAGCCCTGGTGGCTCTCGCCTGTAATCCTAGCTACTCAGGAGGCTGAGATCTGAGGATCGAGGTTCAAAGCCAGCCCGGGCAGGAAACTCTGTGAGACTCTTATCTCCAATAAACCACTAGAAAATGGGAAGTGGCGTTGTGGCTCAAGCAGTAGAGCACTCACCTTGAGCTGAAGAGCTGAGGGATAGCGCCCAAGCCCAGAGTTCAAGCCCCATGACTGACAAAAAAAAAAAAAGAATGATAGAGAGAGGGAATACAATAATAGTATATATACTACATACATGCAAGGGAATGTCATGATGAAACCCCCTGCTGTGATTAATTATGCTTATTAAAAAAGTAAGACAGACTCAGGAGAGGAACATGAAGGCACAAAGCCTATGTGCATCTAATCATACAAAATAATATTTATTGAAATGAACTCCAGGAAATGTGAACAAGGTTTTTTCTTTCTTGCTGTTTTTGTTTTCTCTTCCTTTTGTTGTTTGTTCGTTTATATGTCCTTGGGAATGTAAGAGGAGGCGCAGAAATAGAGGGACAAAGGGTGAGCAAATGCAGCAGTCCTACTCACTAGACACTATGTTGAAAATGAACTATACAACTTGTAAGGATGGGGGGGGGGAGGGGAGGAATGGGAGGGAAGGGATGACATTATCCAAAAAGAAATTACTCTTTTACCCGACTTATGTAACTGTAATCCCCCAGTAGATCACCTTTATAATAACACTAAAAACTTTAAATGTAAGGCAGAGATTGACAAATGCCTGAAGGTAAACTTAGTATTAGTTCACAATTTTTATTTTAACTCTTTCTCCATTTGTGGCTCCTGGAAACTTCCCTTTCCTTTTTATGAGTTCAAGTTATGTATTCCTTTTTATGAGCTCAAGTTATGTATTTCAAAGACATTCAGTTTAAAGAAACAGTACAGGTGTTTAATACCACATTGTTTTGTAAATATCACGTTGTTTTGCAAAGTAAACAATTGTGCCTATGTAAGCACATCCCACTATAAAGATCTCCATCAGGTATTCTTTGGAATGGTAAAAGGAATTAAAAAGGAATGGAGATGGGAAGCCTAAGGAAAAACTGGAGAAAGGGAGGGAAAGGATGAGATCATCCAAAAAAAAAAATGTACTTATTACCTGACTTGTGTAACCTTTACCATAACAATAAAATTCTTTTTAAAAGAAAGGAATGGAGATATAGCAGAGACAGAGTAAAAGAAGGCTAAGTAATAGTAAGTCATATATTTTGTGACCTACTTGAACCAAATGGCTCCACTGAAGTAAACCTGGAGAGGTATAAGATCAGCTAATGTTATGGTTGGCCATGGGCCTAAACAAGTAGAGCTTAATTAATTAAGTGGAGCTTAATTAACTAATTAATATGGCAGTACTGGGGTTTGAATACAGGGCCTTGGTTGAATGCAACAGTTGAGCTACACTTCCAGTTCCTTTTTGTTTTTTTCAATTGTTCAGATAGCGTTTTATACTTTTATACTGGCCACTTTGGACTGTGATCCTCCTACTTCCACCTCCCCAATAGCTGAAATTAAATGTGTGGACCGTACCAGATTTGTTCTTTTTTTTTTTCAGTTTTTAAAAACTTATATGTAGAGGCTGGAAAGATTTTGCTCAGTGGTAGAGAGTTTGCCTAGCATGCATAAAGCCTTGGGTTGGGTTCAATTCCTCAGAACCAGAAAAAGCTGGAAGTAGTGCTGTGGCTCAAGTGGTAAAGTACTAGCCTTGAGCAAGAGAAGCTTAGGGGACAGTTTGCCCAGGCCCTTAGTTCCAGCCCCAGGACTGACAAAAAAAGAAAAAAAAATCTTTAAGTTATCTTTAAATCTTTAAAACTGTTTATTAATACAGTGCATTTTTTTTTGGTGCTCTGCCACTTGAGCCACACCTTCACTTCTAGTTTTTTAGTGGTTAATTGGAGATGAGAGTCTCATGTGTTTTCCTGTCCTAGCTGGCTTAGAACTGAGAGATCCTCAGATCCCACCATCCTTGACTAGCTAGCAATCCCTGGCTTACAATGCATCTTGATTACTGTCACCCCTTTCAGCATTACCTGGCTTGTTCTTGAAATACGGTCTTACTAACTCATCTGAGTTGGCTTCAGATTGTGATCTTCCTGTCTGCCTCCTAAGTATCTAGGATTATGCCTTGCATTAACCAGACAGTTTTGAGGTGTCCAACCCAGTTATTTGTAAAATGTTCTATAATTTAGATTTCTCTGGTTATTTGCCTCTCAATAATGTTTTGGAGCTGGACACTGGTGACACATGCCTGTAATCCTAGCTATTCAGAGGCTGAGATCTGAGGATCATAGTTTGAAGACAGCTAGGGCAGGAAAGTCTGTGTCACCCATATCTTCAATTAACCACCAGAAAACCAGAAGTGGTTACTGTAGCTCAAAGTGGTAAAGTGCTAGCCTTGAGCAAGAGCTCAAGGACAGCACCCAGGCTCTGAGTTCAAGCTCTATGATGACTAAAAAAAAAAGTTTTTTTGAAATGGTGCAAGTCCTTTTGTGCATCAAGGAAACCTATAAAGTCAGTTTGTCTAGTTAATAATTTTATTTATTTTTATTTTTTATTATTTGCTGGTCGTGGGGCCTGAACTCTGGGCCTGGGCGCTGTCCCTCAGCTCTTCAGCTCAAGGCCAGCACTTTACCACTTGAGCCACAGTACACTTCTGGCTTTTTTTTTTTTTTTCTTATGTGGTGCTGAGGAATCAAACCCAGGGCCTCATTCATGCAAGGCA